TGAAACAAGCTTGTTCCTAATTTGAACTAATAAAAAAAATTTTTTTAAAGACCTGGCAAGGCAACCCAGTATGAGGAATAGGATCCCCAAAACTGTAAAAAGAAAGACAGGCCCTCCTTCCACTGTTAGGAGCCCCACAAGAAGACCAAACTACACAACTGTCATATATATGCAGAGGACTTAGGTCAGTCCCATGCAGGCTCCTGGTTGTTGGTTCAGTCTCTGTGAGTTCCTATGAGCCTAGGATAGTTGATTCTGTGGGTTTTCTTGTGGTGTCTTTTACCCCACTGGCTCTACAATCCTCCCACCTCTTCCACAGGACATCATGAACTTTTTCTAAAGTTTGACTATGGGTCTCTGCATCTGTGTCCATCAGTTGCTAGATGAAGCCTCTGATGGCTATTGGATTGGCACCAATCTGTGAGTATAGCAGAATATCATCAGGCATCATTACATCGATGTGTTTTTGTTCCAGTTTTGTTTGGTTCTATTAAGTCTCTGGGAAATCCAGCTTCTAGGTTCTGGCCCTCCAGGCAGTGTCAGGGGTGGACTCTCTCTTGTGGCATGGGTCTCAGGCTGGACCAGTCATTGGTTGCCCATCTCTGTGCCAACTTTACCCCAGCACAACCCATAGGCTGGACAGACTATAGGTCAAAGGTTGTGTGGCTGGGTTGGGATCCCAATGCTTCCACTGGTAGTTATGCCTGGTTACAGGAGGTGTGGCCAGTTCAGGCTATGTATCTCCTTTTGCTAGGAGTCTTAGCTAGTGTCTTCCTTACAGAATCCTGGGAGTTTCCTTTGCACCAGGTTTCTTTCTGACCCTGAAATGTTCCCCATTCCAGTAGACTCTTTCAGTACTCCCCCAAAACCCTCACCTGATCTTTCATGTTCCCATTCCCATCTACCCCCAGTCCACCAAAAAAAAAAATCTCTTCTATTTTCCCTTCCCAGGGAGATCCATGTGTCTTGAATCCATGTCAACCTTGAGCCCTCCTTGTTATCTAGTCTCTCTGGGTCTATGGATTGTAGCATGGTTATCCATTCTTCAGTTGAGGGACATCTAGTTTGTTTCCAGGTTCTGGCTATTAGAAACAAGTCTCCTTATGGCATGATTGAGCATCCTTTGTGTATATGCATAAGAGTTGTATAGCTGGTTCTTGAGGTAGATTGATTCCCAATTTTCTGATAAACCACCATATTGATTTTCAAAGTTGCAGTACAAGTTTGCACTTCCAACAGCAATGGAGGAGTGTTTCCCTTGCTCCACATTTTCTGCAGCATGAGCTGTCACTTGTGGTTTTGATCTGAACCATTCTGATGGGTGTAAGGTGGAATCTCAGGATCCTTTTGATTTGCATTTTCCTAGTGTCTGTCTAAGGATGTTGAATATTATTTTTTACAACCAGGGAGCCTGCATGGAACTGACCTAGGCCCTCTGTAAATATGTTAGAGTTGTGTAGCTTGGTCCTCTTGTGGGACTCCTAACAGTGGGAACAGAGGCTGTATTTTTACTTTTATTCTCTCTGTGTGTGTCTCTGTCTTTCTGTGTCTCTCTGTCTGTCTCTCCCTCTCTCCTCCCTGCCTCTCTCCCTTCCTTCCCCCCTCTTTTTCTCCCTCCCTTCACCTTCTCTCTCATCTCTCCCCCTACAGGTCCTCTGCCTATATTTTATGGCTTCTGGTTTAGTGTTTTTATGGGATTCCTAAATGTGCAAATGAGTGGGTCTCTTATGTCCTGAACTTTCTTCCCTAACCATCATGAAATGAGCAGTCTCTTCTGCCATATGATCTGATGGCATGATGCCCTGTTTTCTTGTAGGTCCATAGCCCCTGGGCTAGCCAGTCAGGAACAGGAAACTCTAAAACTGTGAGTCAAAATCAGTCATCCTTCCTTTTAGATTGTTGATAACTAGTCTCAATTATCAAAAGTAGTCAAGTTATCACTGTGCATTGTTTCTGTTTCCCCAGCATGTCACACAATTCCTTAGACTGATATTAATAATGAAATTTCAACTAAATTCTTTAAAACATGTGTTGCATAATTCTTTTTAAAAAGTATACGACGTGGATTCTACATGAATCCTTTATTTGGGAGAAAAAAGAAAATAATGATTTGGGACTTGAAACTCATGCTGCATTCACACTTCAAATAATGAATGTCACTTAAATATCTAGAATGCCTTTTCACTTTGCCTAAATAATTGGAACCAAATATAATCAAGCACATGAAAACCATGCCTTCTCTCTTGGCCCTTCATCCCTTGTTTTCATCCAAATTTCTCATGCATATTACGTATTTCACTGTGATTTAGTTTTTGCATAGTTGAGGACCTTCTACATACTAAGCAAGTAAGCATTCTACAATTAATCCATGACTAAACCACATTGTTAACTTTTTTCACACTTTAGGTAGTTATCTTTTAAAGACGTTTATATGGTAAGGAAACTATACATAGTCATTTTGGTGGAACCCCAGCATCTATCTAGTATGACTTTTTGCTTCCTGAAGAATTTTCTTTAATATATCTTCCAAGCATACATTAATATTTCTTTATATATGACCATTAATGATTTAATTCTTTGATTATTATTTATTTTATAAAAAGTATTTTAGTTTTATTCTGGATGTATTTTTACAGTGTAAAGTTCTAGCCTGAAAGTTTTAAATTGATTTCAGAAATTCAAAGATACTACCTCATTCTCCTTCTCCTCCTCCTGTGTAGCTATGGAGCGTATCCTGGCACTCGCTCTAGACACCAGGCTGGCCTTGAACTCACAGAGATCCACCTGCCTCTGCCTCCCGAGTGCTGGGATAAAAGGTGTGCGCCACCAACGCCCGGCCCTCATTCTCTTCTTATTTTCATCATTTTTATTATTAGAAGTTTCAAGTTAAGTGATGGTTCATATATGTATACATCTGTGGTGATCATGTTCTTCTACCCTTCTTTAACTCTTGGACCTATCTCCCCAGTGTTCTTTGTAGTGCTTAGTGAAGCCTCATTTTCTGACAGCCTTTAATCCACAATTATATTTGATCCTCAATAAATAAAGGACCTTCCTTTTTAGGTACATTTCAGGTGTGATGGGGAAGTCTTCTGTACATGTTTCTCTTATTAGTTGATGAATAAAGTACTGTTGGCCAATAGGGAAGCAAGATAAGCAG